ATATATTTTAATTTATTTTCCCATGAATAAGAGATTTGAGAATAAACAAAATTGGGTTTGAGCTCGAGTTTGCCAAACTCATCCCCGGGAACAAGCTCAGTTTAAGCCAAGTTTGGAATTCTTTTCCAAACGAGCAACATGTGCTTATAAGCAGGTTTGACCAGCTTATAGGCTAAGACAAACACTATGTATATTTAGAAACTGTAGGGTGTAAACCTTTCAGCTTTCTGAAGAATCAGCGATCTCAGAAGGAGAAAACCTCATACAGTTGCCCATTAAGCCAAGTAAAACTAAAAACGACAAAACTTCTTTGACGTTCCTCACATAGATGAGGTTCAATCAAAGTAGCATACAAGAATCGGGGCCATACTCAAGCCTCCATCTTTTATTCAGAACATGATATCTTTATTTCCTCAGGCTCCCCAGCCCCTTAGAACTGTTGCCCTGGCGACACGGTTAACTCCGAGAGTGAAAGCTCCCATTCGGAGATCACAGTTGTGGGTTTTGCACATTTCCTTCACATCCTTGAATCCCGTGGTCATGTATGTCTTTAGCTCTTTGTTCACCTTCTCCTCATCCCACATGAATCCTTGAATGTTCTGCAATAGAAAAACCAATCCAAAAAACAAGATTGACCATACTTTTCCTTGATGGTAACTTTTCTAGGAAAATTGCTTTGAATGGTCTCAAAAATTAGGTCCAGAACCCTAGTTTTCAGTTCCAAATGCAGCAGATTATACCTGAACCCATTCAAAGTAACTGACAGTAACTCCTCCTGAATTTGCATATATGTCTGGAAGTATAACCACACCTTTCTTTGTCAAGATCTGCAAGTAAAAGAAGAAATAAGATGGGATTTTCCTTGCATTCTCTATTTTCCTGCAAACTTCAAAGAAGAAGTAACCTCATCTGCCTCTGGATCAGTTGGATGGTTCGCAGCTTCAATGATGAATTTGGCTTTGATATCATTTGCATTTTCCCTTCATTTAGATCAATGAAGCACATTTTATAACTTGACTCTTGAATCAGTAAAAAGAAAGATTATGTTCCGAAAATTGAAGGACCTGTTGATAACACCACCAAGGGCTGCTGGAATGAGGATGTCACAGTCCTCAACTAGAACTGAGTTGGGATCTATAGGATCAGCACCATGGAATCCTTTGACACCCTTGTGTTCTTTGGCATGATTGAGTAGGCTTGGGATATCTATCCCTTTGTTGTTCTTTATTGCTCCTGTGATATCACTCACAGCAACAATCTTCCCACCACTTTCATGGATGAGTTTTGCAGCCCATGAACCAACATTTCCAAAACCCTAATGTAATAACATGCGTAATTTTCAGAAATGCAGCTCAAATGGGTTTAAAGTTTTATTTTATCTTTTAGTAGGTTACAGGATTAACCTGAATGACAAATCTTTGTCCAAATATGGTTTTCCCATGCTCATTAAGCAGGGCCTCTGTTGCAAAGAGCACACCCCTTCCAGTAGCTGCATCTCTGCCCAGTGATCCTCCAAGATCCTAATTGTAAAGATGAAATGGTAAAAGTTAGGGATCTTGATTCTTAAGAAGAGAAAAATACTAAACCGGCACAATTACAATGGCAAACTTGGTCCTCCATATGTACTTACAATTGGTTTTCCAGTCACTACTGCTGGTGAGTATCCATGGAATTTTGAGTACTCATCTAGTATCCATGCCATGGTCTGTAAAGAGAAATCAAGTTTCCAAATTTAGCTACAAATCCATTTCAAAAGCACAATAATCCACTTGTTCTGTTCATCATCTTCCCAAGTGACTTTAAGAAAAACACTCTTACCTGTGGCCCTGTGCCCATATCAGGTGCTGGAACATCTGTGTGGATACCAATGAGGTCATGAATCTTCTGGGTGAAAACTCGTGTCAGACGTTCAAGCTCAGAGATGCTAAGCTCTCCGGGATTACAGCCTATCCCGCCTTTAGCGCCACCATAAGGGATGTTAGCCACTGCTGTCTTCCATGTCATCAGTTGTGCTAAGGCATTCACTTCATCTGGATCAACCTGGATTGTCCCAGAAATCATCAGAATCCAAACTTACATATTTGCTGATAAAGCCACAGATTACAAATAGCATTCTATTGATGTGTAGAGCTGAAATTTAGTAATTTACTAGTGAAACTTGAAGGAAACAGAATACTCTAGAAGATTGCACTTCTACTAGCAGAGTGATTTGTCCTGTTTAAGGGTATTTAAAACAAACAGAATGTAAACAACCTCAGGGTGGTATCTGATGCCTCCTTTCATGGGTCCTCTAGCATTGTCATGCTGAACCCTGAACCCAACAAAAGATGCCAGACTTCCATCGTCTTTCGGTATGGTACACTCAACCTGTAAACATATTCAAAATCCATTTGAGAACCAGAACTCACTAATACAGAGGACAAATTCACAAGCCAGCAAGTCAACGCTTCTGCTATGAACTCAAATGCCTTGAAATCGCCCATATCAACCTTTGCAGTGAGAAAGATCAACGTAAATGATGAAAATTATTGTATAAAACACCCAAAAGATTGGCATCCATTGCATCTCTAGAACTATGGATTCAGCTAATTAGAAGAAGAAGAAGAAAAAATGAAAAATTTCAGTAGTTTGAATGGTAGTTGACTTGTTTCACCAGCATTTCAACTCAAACCGCAAATGAACAATGAATGTCAGAACAACGTAATAGAGCCATCCTTGACCCTTTTTCGCAGATACTTTGGTACTCCATCGACGAATAACATTTTGGAAGGAATAGTTAAACTAGTAAAAGAAAAATAAGAGAACAATTAAAGGGAGCACCTTGATTTCTCTGAATGGAATGAGCAGACTCTTCTCAAGCTTAGAGTCCAACCCCAGAAGCCGCGCTGCGAGCTTAAAGTTTCTGTTGGTTGCCACAAGTGCATTCATGGTTGTTTTCTTAGCAGGCTTTGTAGAAGAACAAAGAAACACAAGAAAGTAGATGTCTTGTTATGGATGTAAAATGATGGAGATTGAAAAGTTTTAAACCAATTGGAATTGAGACATGTGCGTTGAAGGCAATACCATGAAACATTATATTAGACAGCTTGAAGTCCTATATCCAAGAAAACAAGATAATTTATCATCTATGAACTTTATAATACAGTTTAATTAGTAGGTGGGGTTTTGTAGATAAGTATCACATATGCACTGTATCATTATTAAAAGCAATCATATGCTTACATTTATCCGAAGTGCTAATCATCTTGGTGTACTGAAAGACTGCCAACAAGTACAGTAGTTGCTTAATTTGCTCAATATCTTGACAAAGACTTGATTATAGTTTATTCTGCAGCTTTTCGCCGCATAATTGACTGTTAATTTGTAGGATTAATCTGGAATGAACCATAGTGCATATCTAGGAGGCCCATGATTTTGGAAAGTGTTCTGGTTTGAATAGTTCTTTGAATATATAGCATATCCTGTTCTAGCCTTCACCAGACCATGATTTACCAAATATTCCAACCAGCTCCATTTTTTTTTTTTTTTTGACCGTATGCAATATTAGATGGGAGATCTTAAACTTCAGTTCTCCAAAATCTCAACATCTCCTTTAACCACTGTAGCAAGAATCACTTAGCTCTAAATCAAATTTCCTAGAAGGTAACATCTATCTCTATTCTCCTCTAGTTCACTAAGTTATCATACATGTACTGACAAACTAAGCCCCTTTTTGGTAACAGAAGGGTAGAAATGATGTTGATCTGTGTCAGAGGCAAAATGCCCTTTGGCCAGAGGAAAGAGGAAGCTGAGACCCACCCCACCTAGAGGGAGAATGTCACCATATCACCTTTGATATAGTCTCAAAGTAATTCTATAAAGTAATGGAAACATAACTTTTAGCAGCTAAACCAATGTTGCTGCCTGGCTTGGATGCAAAAAAAAAAAAGGGGGGGGTGGGGGTGGGAGTGAAAAGGATAAAACCTCCACAATATGTATATTTCCTGAATTCTGACCTTTTCAACACATTGCGCAGAGAAAATGAAGAAAATTGTAGGAAGAAGATAGGTTTTTATATTTCTTCCATTTCTGCATAATCAAACAAGATTAGGGGCCTCTTGTTTTCTTATTTGGCACTAAAAAAAAAGGGAAATAACATAAAATAAGAGACAGAAGTTGGTCTTGAAAGTGGTATTGTTGTCCTTAAAAAGAGGCACACATTTTTGGAAGAAATACAAGAACAAGAAGATGAGAAGACGATAGGTTCTTACCCCCAATAAATCTCACAGAAGCTGGAAGCTGAGTCTTTCAGCAGGAGTGAAAATGAAACCCCAGTTTCAACTCTGAATCTAAGAATAAATAGCAAAAACCAAACTCAGAATCAGAATCATATTCGGCAAGAATCGAACCTAAGGACTTATCTGTCCAAAATCCTAAAATTCTTAGGACATATCATCTGAATTATATATCAACATCAGTCAGAAGAAGAATACGATGCCTGCATACACCAACAGACAGCATATGGCCACCCCATAAACAAAGGACAATATGGATATAAAAAGAAGAGACATGTTGCATGTGTATGCATAGAGAGATAGAAAGTACAGAAAATTTATGTTTGCTTACTGAGAAAGAGAGAAGGAGAATAATCAGATGTGGATTCGCAAATTGCTAGCGACACAAATTGTTGCACAGGTACGTGAATCCAACGCGAATTCCATTTGCATCTGTGTATCAACCCTTTCAAAATAGAGCTCAAGTTAAGACCTTTTTTCTTTCCTTTTCTTTCCTTTTTGTTTTTGTTGGTTTTATTAAATTGGATGAACTTCTTTTAACTCTGCTTTAGTGATATGATTTGAGAGCACCGCACTGCTTAGCTCTCTTTCCATTGAAAGGGAGGAGCTTTCCATGATCTTTGGATTTTAAAAATCTCAGCCCTTTTTTTCGTTGTCAGCAAAATTGACTGCACAACAAAGTGATGCTCAACCATAGAAAGGAAATGAGGTTTAGTTTGAGTTTTCTATCACGACAAGTTGATGAAAAGTGTATTCTTTGAAACTGTGGCACATAATTCAGTCCATTCCACTGGAATAAAATCAGAAATTACAAATAGTTTGTGAAGCTGATATAATCAATCGTCAATGTTTTCCATTTGTTACCCTGGAAAATTTTTCTCAGTAACCGGGAGGGAAAATCTCATTCACCTCAATTGTGTTCTCTGGATTCAATTTTCCATTTAAGGGTACTTACAGCTCATACAAATAACATTATTTGCACTGAAAATCACTCATAGGCTTCTCTGCTACATCTGCTTCAACTATTGATCAAATCTATTAGGATATATACTTGACACATCATATTTTTGCTTTCTTTGGACAAATTTAATGGTTATTTTTTCGTTGATTTGATGGTATTTTCACTTGTTGAGACGGTATTGGGGTTTGTGGCACCGTTCAAAATCTGAGAAGGAAAACCGTCGCCCCTTGAAAGGTTTCAACACACTTGGCTGATTGATTTATCAAAATTAAAGTATGTCCTAAGGTTGATGACCAAAGATAGATGTGAAATGTTGTGAATCCAACTCATGAATAATGAAAACCATTCCCTGAAGACTGAACTTCATGTGATTCCAATGTTCCATGATTAGCAAGAGTTCAATTATTGAGGAATCAATCATAAAGCAGACTTCTATTTAATTCAATTTCATGTCCATTGTATACCCAATAATTGGTTAAAATACCAATTTAGTCTTTCAACTTTTAGATTTGCCTAAAATTGTCTTTTAACTTCAAAAAATACTAAAATTATCCCAAAACTTTATTTTTTAACACAAAAAAGTCCTTTCATTAACATAAATATAACATAACTCGTTATTTTACCACAAAATTAGTTTTTTTTTTTTAAATATTAATGATGTGTAAAATCGAACAATTATATTTTCCTATCAAAACATATTTATATGTACATTTCAAATTGATATAATCAAAATTGAAAAACTAAATTAGTATTTGCAATCAAAGTTTAAGGAGTAAGCTGATACTTGTTTTCAATGTTTTTAAGGACTAAATTGGTATTATCTTCAAAGTTTGAAGACTATTTTGGTACCAAAATTAAAATTTGAGGATAATTTTAGTATAAATCTAAAAGTTAAAGGATTAAATTAGTATTTTAACCCAATATTATCAATTCCCGTTCTCTCCATCCTTGAAATGTGATCAAAATATATCTAGTGGTTCTTCGAGTAAGACTGCCTTTGGCCTCAGATGCAGAAAGCATTTTTGGCTTACATGCTTTTTCTTACGTATGAAAGGAAAATGAATTTGAACCAATGAAGCTTGAGGGTCAAAAATGTATTGCATTTCCACCACATCAACCAACCCCTTGAGCCCTTGTTGCAATCCTAGTGGGTTTTAAGAGATAAAAAGTGCTATCTCATATTACCACTTTCCCCACTATGACCTAACCCCTTTTATGATTTTATCCACTAAAGCAACTCTTCTTCTACGTTCTTTATGCACATCATCCTTCTTTCCATATTTTTATCTACAATCATTAAGCTTCAATGATGATATATTCTATTTCCTTACCTTTAATGTTTGATGATATTTTATTTCCTTACCTTTAATTTTTCTTCGGAGTATGAAAAAGATTCCAAGGAATCAATACTTTTTTTTTCTTCCTATTTTTTTAAGGAATCAATGCTTCTTAAAATTTTTTTAGTAATATGAAATTCAAAGCTAGTTTGTGAACATTAAACCACTCAACCCCCCATTTACTTCGATTTTATGATATAGATTAAAATGTCTCTATATATGGTTAATAGAAAATTATATACATCAAGAGTATATATAAATGGATATTGAATATAATAGTTTGAAATTAGCAGTTAATGAATAAAAGAGTTAGAATTAATAATAATTATGAATTATCAATCATCCTATTATATGAACCTACTAACTATTAATTTTAAACTATTATTATCACATTTATATAAAATCTTTATTATTTCTCTTTTTATTTTTAATGGTTGATATTTATTATAAGATTTTAGATAAAAAATAATTATTTTTAATAAATATAAATAAATCTCAATTATTGAAAGTAAAAAAATAAATGATCGAGATTTTATTTAAATATAATATATAAATTTTTTATATAAATAGATTAATACTCCTAAAATATATACATATATGTGTATATATATATATTATGGCTGGCAAGAGTTCACCACAAATAAAAAAATAAATGATCAAAATTTTATATAAATATAATATATAAAATTTATATATAAATAGATTAATACTCCTAAAATATATACATATATATGTATATGTAAATATCATGGCTGACAAGAGTTCACCACAAATCAATTCTAATGTAAAATTTAAACAATTTACCCCTTATTCTTTTTATGTCCTCTCTCTTCTCGCTTGATTTTAGATTACAATTTTATTTATATATTATATGATTCAAATTTAATATTTTTATTTTTATTAAAAAATATTATTAAATTATTTAAATAATTAGATAGTATTCCTTCCTTATAATGGCTTACTTTGGTTGACATGATGTTTGGTTCCATCATCCAGGTACTGATACAAAATTTATGCCCTAATAAATATTATTTTGATAAAGTCAAAACTCAATATATAAGACCTATTAAAAATAAACACAATAAATAAATAAATGAATGGGACCTATTCAAAGTAGATACGTGGAATAAAGCATTAAAGTGAGCTGCCCAAACAGAGGGCTTCCTTTTTCTCTCACTTTTTTTCCCTTCTCCTTACTGCCCTTTCGATCATTTCATGCTTGCCTTTGTCTTTATCTCAATTTCCTTTCAACAGTGTTAAAGAGAATTAAAAGATGGAAAATCACTCACCCATTTGGTTGAGCTTAAAAATTAATTTTTTTTATAAATTTAAAAATTTTTTGATGAGAAATTTAAATATTAATTGTTTAGATAAAGTTTAAGAAATTTAAAAATACTTCAAAATTTAATTTTTAAATTTTTTAAAATAAAATTTTAAGTTTATTAAAAATTAATTTTTTTAAACAGTTCACTTTTTTAACTCTACCAATCACATCCTAAGATTAAACTTGACAAAAAATTTTAGGGATAAGACTTTTGGGGCCAATTAATAAATTGTATGGAATCTGACCAAAATTATTGAATTTTGAAGATTTTTGGAGAGGCTGTGCACCGTCCTCAATAAGTTGGTCCCTACCTATGAGGCCTTATTATAAAACCAGTGACAAGTTAAGGACATGTGATTTATGTATCATTTTTTAGCATAATTTTTTTAATAATTTTATCTAACTTCACGTATATTAAATGATTAATTTTTTTTATTTTATTAAAACTAATAATATTATATATATTCACTTATTTAAAAATATGTGAACATTGTAAATAAAAATAGTATAAATAAATTGCACAGATATATTATCCTAAAAAATAGTTATGATATTGGCCCATCATTTATGTATTATTTGTAATAGTTGAAAATAGAAAAAAAATACCAAAAGAGGTAATTATATTTTAGTGACCATGGTCACAAAGGCATCCATCTATTAAAAACAAAAAGAAAAAACAAATGGGAACAAACATGGAAGAATTCCACTAAGGGGGAATGTTGGTGGAATTCCATTAAGAATCTGCAGTACACTACCCACCCCTTCATCATAGATAGATTCCTTTCTCATTGAAAGTTCCAATGAGATACCATTTTTCATTTGGTTAAAGAGGCACTACTAGAGATTTTTTTTTTCCTTTTTTTTAATATATATATTTTGAGAAAGGTACATGTGATTCACATGTGCTCAAGTTTATGGAATGAGTAAGCTTCACTTTTACTTTGTTTGCACTAAAATTTTCAAACAAGCTTCTTTTTCATTCGGAAGATAGGCAATTTTTTCATAATTTTTTTTTATCACCTAAAATCAATTTAAATTTAGCTTAAATGGGAGGACAAGGATATTCTAACCCAAATATAGTTTCAAACAAACAGTTATGCACCTAAAACTATAAAAACAAACTAAAACATTTATATATTAAATGAAAGTACAAAAGATATTCTAATTCATGTACGGTATGAAACTAACAGTACATCTTGCTAATAATGCGCAGCCAAAACCATAAAAACAAACTGAAACATCATCTAAGTTCTAGCCACTTGTTGATGGTATGCTTTCAAGTTTCAATGCCTTTCGGTGTCCACCAATTGCAACAACACAGTCCCAAGGTCGAATACTACATTCTTGAATTTGTTTGGTTAGTGATAACTACTATTTTCTGATTAAATTATAAAAATAAGTTAAAATTAAGAAATTTCTAAAAAAAGTTATGAATAACAAAAAATTAAAGAATACATATTTCTTAAAAAAAGGAAAGGAATATATATACTTGATTCATCCTTTTAGTTTAATAAAAAGTTATAAATAATAAGATTTAATTATTCCTAACTTTTAAGAAAAATTTTTAAATTTAATCATATTTTTATAGTTTGACTAAAACATTATTACTATCACTAACCAAACATATATGACCAAACATGATCAAAAAGGGAAAATGCTTCTTAACATCTTATTTTTATGTCCAGCAAACTGTATTCCGAATCATCACCATTACATATTAAATACCATGCAACCACCATACAAACAAAGGCTCCAATCTCACTGTATCACCCCCCTACACATCACCAAATTACTCCACCATACTTTCCACATTACCCCTTGAGTATTATCTTCAT